ACTATACACACCCAACAAACACCAATCACATGTTTTGGTATGTACTTTCGTAAGATGTTTTTCATTTTGATGAGATTTTGCTGACCCCGGCTTTACTTTTCTTTTTCAGCTATGGTAAGGAAATTATCATTTAGATGTAAAGTCCGTGTAACGTAAAAGTCAACAAAATGAATGATACCCGAATTAGTTCGAATGATGCTCGAACGCTGCTCGAACGCTCCCCGAACGTTGTTCGAACGCAAACGGAACGCTGCCCGAACGTTTAATAGATGGTTAATGAACTATGTACGATCGATAGTATATACCATAAACCATTCGATAATCGAAACCATAAACACAACAATATTAAACGATTGCACATGTAGTACAGGAAGCCACAGGACAAACAGTCACAATTTAGTTTAGTTGTGAAATAAATTTTCTTTTGACAAAAAAGATAAAAGTGTGCTTTCAAAAGTGCTGGCCTATAGATATATCCTTGCTATGATTAAAAGTAGACAATTATTCATCTAGTAAAGCTTATTATACATTTCCTAGACATACCATGATTTGATTTATAGAAATATAGTATTTTTAAAAACTTTTTCCTATTCAAACAATAAAAGGATTTAACCGTGACTTTCTGTCCGTTTGCCATCTGAAAAGATGCATCGGATTAAACATTCCCATTCGGACCGGACTTTGCTGTGTACTTATGCATCCTGCATAGTCAAACGAACGCCCAACTTTAACACCGGTTTTACTGCTAAACGGGAGCATGTATAAATACATAATGACATCATTCTACACCCAAGTTAATCATTGGGTAATGTCCGACATTAAGAAGAACAAATACAATGGAATGTTGTCATGTCTTTTTTAATCATAGCGTTTAAATCTTTGTTTTGTAAGATGCTTGATGAAAAGTCTGAATGCAAGCTTTTAGAAAATTTGCTATTTGTTGAATATTTAGATTCGTGGTTCACCTGTTCCAAAGAAATCCACGAAAATTGGCATTCCATGATAGACCATGAGTAATAGTTAATCCACAGTATTGTTTTATCAGAAATCAGGCTATTGGTTTTCTCGTTTGTCATGTCTCATTGTTGAAGGTCTTAAAGTGACCTATAATTGCTTTAATCCAAGCCAATAAATCTCTGGTGGATGGTTATCACAGCTGGCAATCATATCACATCTCATTATTCTTATATTTAATTAAGTAGGTCTGGGAGTTATATTAACGTGACAGAGTATTGTTGCATATCTTCTTTTGGACAGTTCCCTTGTGACTCATAAGATTGTCTGCTTAACCCCGACTCAGAATGCCAACTTGCGGAGTTACTTTGGAGTTTATTTTGTATATAGCACAAAATATTATCGTCCTCAATATGCGTATAATATTGACCGCTAAGTTACCAATTTTCATAATTCTAAATTTCTATCCTTTCACAAGTTGATAAAGCTGTACCCTAATATATAGATTATAAAAGAGAGGCGAAAGATACCGAAGGGACATTCAAACTCATAAGTCGAAGATAAACTGACAACGCCATGGCAAAAAAAGAAAAAAGATCAAAAGACAAACAAGAGTATAAAAAAAACATAACATAGAAAACTAAAGACCGAGCAACTCGAACACCGCCAAAAACCGGGGTGATAAGGGTCGTTTTCCGTCGTCATTTTAATATATTTTGCCAATAAATTTTTAACTTTTTTTCCATTTAATACTTGAATTTAACACAATTGTATATTTTGTTATTGATGAAAATAAGATAATTTGAAAGTCTTTGTTCATTAATATATCAACATATTTTAATTATAATTCAGGCGGTCTATTTTCTGTACATCCATGTTTAAATTCAAATATCCTTCATATTTACCCCAGGAATATATTACCTTAGCTGTATTAGGGAAAACCTTTCGGAATTTTGGGTACTCAGTGCTCTTCAACTTCGTACTTTATTTGGCCTTTTAAACTATTTTGATTCGAGCGTCACTGATGAGCCTTATGTAGACGAAACACGCGTCTGTCGTATACAATTTAAGCCTGGTATCTGATGAGTTTATTTATAATAGGTACTAACCATACTAAATTGGTTCTAAAAACATATACTATATTGACAATCTTTATTTTTTAAAACCACATATGAAAACATTATTCATTTTTGAATTGATATTCTCAGAAATGAAAAGTGAAATTTAAGATTAATAACAAAAACTAAAAAACGAAAACACTTTCGTTTTTACTCTTTTTTTTATGTTTTAAGATATCTAAAACAAAACAAAAACATAAAAACTTTCGTTTCTTTGTTTTTCGTTTTTGATTTCCAAAAACGAAAGGCGAATGGATGCAAATAAACAGGGACCAAGTTATCAGAAAGCAAGAACAGATAATTAAGTACATCAAATATATACAAATCCATATATTTAAAATTTTATAAGAAAATCAGATTAAAATTAAAAACCAATTGTTCAGAGAACAATTGAAAGTCTTTCCACCCAAAACGTGCATCTTTTGATACAAAAATATTCAATTACGGTTTAAAAATGTCAATTTTACTGCCAGGTTATAGCTTGATTTAGACTGATTCTAAAAACATATAGTTTTAATATATTTATGCTCAAAATAAGGGAGATGAGAAATTATTTCCGGTTTACAAAATTCAACTTCTGGTTTCAAATAAACCTCAATTCACAATGATTCCTAAAATATAAAGGTCTAGTAAATTTTTCATTAAGATAATGAAAAAAATGGCTACTTCTGGTTAAGACAAGGTCATTTCCGGTTGACCTTTCAAGGTCAAATGTCTTACAGCCTAATGCAAAAACATATGACTTTAGCATGTACAAATAATAAGTTACAGTAAAGGTCAAAATTTAGAACATCAAATTAAACTCTGACCTTGACCTAAATTTCAAAGCTATAAAGCAAGGACCTCAAATCAAAAGACCCTAGGTCTCTACTATATATGGTTAATGAGTTGGATCACCATACATCTAGTTTTAAATGAGGGGTGAAAACTCCCATTAAATGTCAACGTACCCTTTCAACCAAAATGTATGTGTTGCATATAACAATTTAGTAAATTAAAATATCTTTGACGGCTTCTGATGTTGTAATAACAAGCAAAATACAAAATTTAGAATGTGACCTTGACCTTTGACCTTGACCTCAGTTTTCTTTAGTTGACAAAGGACCTCAAATCAAAAGACCAGACCGTTACAGCAATTTTGCTATACCATGCTGTCTTTGCCTCACTGGTGCCTTTCATGTTCTTGACATATTTTCAAAACATTGGCAAGGTTGTAAAGTAAAAATGTTATCGATTTCAAGGAGCTATGGATCCTTAAAGATAGAAAGAATTTGGGGTATCTCTTCAGTTAAAAACTAAAAATTTTGCTAATTTTCTTCAAAATAATATACTTGATTCACGAAATTGGATTGAGAAACACAAAATTTTATCATTCTCAACCTATTACATACAACTTTCTACCTGCAAAATTTTGATATGATTCTCGAATTTTCTATTAATAGCGAAAGGTCGGGGAAGCATATTACATATTACATTACTGTAGATGATAGAAAAAAATATACGTTCATAATAATTGTTGTGATTTTAAATTGTTGTAACTATAGATGCAATAGGAATAAATGTTGATTGAAATGCAGAAATTTAAAGTCTCCTGTGATGTTTCATTTGTAAATGACATCCAATGAAAAAAATATATGTTTTAGTAACCACGCTGTGAACACAAACAAAAAGAAAGAAAATAAAGAGCCATTGTGACAGATATGAATTTGCTGACGTTCACAAACATTCCCTGAGATACATATACAATCAATGTGTATGATTCTTCAAAATTTGTTTCGCCTTTGTGCTGTATAACATATTATGTATATTTCAATTTGGCTAACTCTATTGATACCATTTCCCCCTATTTTTTATTTATTTGTACCCTTAATTTATATTCTTTATATTTCAGCATCCCATTATTCTCTATTCTCTTAATTTTTGGTCTAATCTTCTCTAGTCTTTATATGTTTGCTCTTTATTCTGCGCGTTTTACCAATTATTCTCTATTCTGCTAACCCAATCCAGACCCTTATATATGTTTGTCTCCGTTTTATCATATAACGATTCATAAGAAACTAAAGACCGTTTGGTGGGGAAGTCAATAAAACTTTGTCAACGATGAAGATTGTATAAGGTTTCAAACAGTTTGCATCTCCTTTTTTCTGCTGTATGACATTTTTCATTACTACACACGGCTTGATCATAACACCTATAAGCTGTGACTTTATCTCCAGATATCTCATAACATACTCCAAGTATTGTTAATGTACATGAAAAGGAATTTCGTGCAATAAAATATAGATATTGAATTGTATTGTGTAATTCACGTAACGCATGTTGTCTGTTGAAAATATCATCAAGATAATGATAACAAAGAAATCTTAAACAGTGCGACATAACCACAGGTGGTATTGAAATGGATGTGTCCTCTACCTCAAGCTGTAACTCTTTAGGTATTAATGAAGAGTGCTTCATGTACCAGATATAGCCTACAGTAGCACTTTTAATCTTTTCATTCAATGTCATAGCAGAATGTACATTTTGTCTGTAATAATCTATCTTTTCTCTATCATAGGAAACGCAAGTTAATAACACCATATTAGGCGTAAACTTTGACAGAACATAATCTGCTACACTAAGTGCAACATTGTATTGTCCTATCACATAATAAAACGACGCATATAACAACCAACCCGAAACAGCATCTGCATTGATACCTTCTTGTAAATGTCTATGATAACATTTGCGTATGTTGTACGTTTCGCCTACGTTTGGCGATGGTAGAAGTTGTGCTATGTATTGACTGATTTTAGCATAGTTATATTTACACACATCAATAATAAATGTAGACGATTCGGACGTTAGTAAAGATTCAGTAAATAAAAGTCCTTTACAACAATTTGAAATATCTGGTGATAAAGCTATCGGTCCAGCTTTCCTAAAGAAAGTCTAACTTAGTGGACGAAAAATCACTCTGTGGACTTAATAAACCGCTGTTTTTATTGTCAAGCGAAAATAAATTCTTTATCAATCCATCAATCCCTCCACACTTTATACTCTTAAGTACAATTATTAGTTTCGTATTGTTACTCTGATTGATCTTTCCTAGGAACATATTGTGTTCAGGTATAAAATAGTTCGGACAGTAGCAGATGTTTACCCACGATATTAATTTATCAAGGCAGAGAAAAAAACAACAACTCAATGTAGGTAATTGAAATGTGTCAATATCCCCTTCCTCCGAGACCCAGAATAAAGCCGTCTTCAGAAAGTAAGAGCACAATAACTCTTTGACATCATTATTCGTGTTAACGATACTCTTTAATGTTAATTTGAGAAGACCGTAACATAAGAGTTGAGTGAAATTAAACGAATGTACAAGTATTTTTTCTGCCACAGAGAAAGACAATCTCCATAAAACGTCACTATCTAATATAGTCTTGGTCCAATAGGTACTAACAAACATCCGGAATTTGTTATCCTGTCAATTACGAAATTAGGCGGCCATTGCCATCGATTACGAGATGCCCATGGAATTGCGTTGTGAGGTAGATATTTACTCCGAAGACAGTATGCAAGATCTACCGTCTGTTCTCGGTCTGATATACATGGACCGTGTACATCTACTGACAAATCCGACTCATTCCTATACAATTGCCTATAACTATCAAGAAAGCGGTTTACTGATAGATAGAACTTTTTACCGGTACATTGACCTGGACAACAGTGACATTGTACATGGAGCGATATCCCATACCCTCTTGATATCAATCTGAGTCGAGTAAATCCAGGATGATCAATGTCTGACTCCATAACAAGTGTTGTACGATGTATTGGTTGTTTGATATTATTTTCATTCTGTATTACGTCCATGTTTCTGATAACGTTCATTCGATCTATGTCACTGCCTGGTAAATCAAGTCCCTCTGCCAAACTTCCACTTGCTATTTGTGAGCGAACCATAGAACATGCATTGCTGATCATATCTTGTATGATAAATAGCCGTTGTCTTATTCGTATATCTATTTCAGTACCAACTGTTTTTACTAGGTGTTGGTATAATAATTTTTCCCTTGTGTCATTTGCAAGCCAAAGCAAGTGATCTATAATAAAATATTGTGTTTACTATTATAAAATCGTAAATGACGTTCGTACATAGAATGTTATATCCCCTAGAGTATTCCAAGCAATCGTTCTGATTAGAGCGTCAATGTTGAGTTATTTAGACGCAACTGACGTCGTATATTTTGAATCAGGTATGCCATTTTACAACAATATGGAGCAATATTTATCATGTTGGTTATTTCTTTCTCGGGTATCATCGGCCTAGTACTCATCAATAGTGTTTTAACTTGAATATTAAAAAAATCAATCGTTCGGTCATTTGTAGTAAATTTATTGTCATCAAAATGTTACCTGTTGACATTAAGTATCCTCAGTACGTAAATTCTTTTGTAAATCAAATATTTATTAACTGTTGAATTATTCAAAACACAAAGGATTTTATACCCGTAGGCATATATAGACTCAGATGGGTTTTTTTTATTTCAAAAATTCAGTTTGAGCGCTTCTGATAAAGGTTAATTTAGAAAAGCAAATTAGATTAGACACACTTCATTGATAAAGAGTCATATCAATTTTACTGCTACCGTACCACATGAGTTATTTCGCAGTTTACGTTATTATTGCGAGTCGACGTATTTATTTTTTAACATTATTTATTTATATTAGTATTTTGTAAAGAGTAAGTATTGTACTATCTAAAATTATATCTTTGTATATAATGTATCTCAATCATTAACTTATGTGTACTGAAATTACACCTTTCTCGTTCCAGAAAAACATATCAACGAGTAATACGGAATTTACTTTAGAGGCTTTATTTATATTATCAATTCAGTTCATTCCACCCACTGGTCAACGATTGTAAATGACCGAATACGTTTTATTACCAATTTGTCTTTTCATGAAGAGCAGGAAGAAACTGTTATATTCCGGATAACCAGTTTCGTTTCTCTTTTTGGCAATGGTGTTGTATGTTTGTCCTTGGATTGTGGTTTTGAATTTCAATCTTGACATCTTTCCTCCTTTTTTAGAATGTCTTTTTCAATTGTATTACATAAACACCTAGTAGACACCTGTCATCGTCTAGAGAAATTAGTTTTATAAAGTTATTACCTTTATTGCAGTCTGTACAATTCTGTAAGTATTCCAAATACTCATTTGAAGATTTGTCAGGATATCTAAGGTTCAGTATCCACTGTTCGTGTGTTTTCCTTCTATTCAAACAAACTTTATACATTCGTTCAAACTGTCTGATTGTCAGTCCGAAAACGTCATTAGAGATAATCATACCGCCATCTGAAGATTGGGAAAGTAATGGTGTATATCTACGCCTTCCACGGTACGGAAAACGTTTAATACCGTATATTTCCCAATACGTTATTTTCCTCATTCCAGATAAAATTCTATCATCATAATTGTTCTGGTTGCTGGAGTTTTCGTCCATAATGCCTCTAAAAAGATATGATTACATACATTCAATTATAGATTAAATTCCTTATGCAATGAATGCAAAGTTTCATATTATAGTATACCAATTATCAGTTAGCATACAGTAAGTCCAGGTATAAAACTTAGTTTTTTAAATTTTAGTGACATTTTACTTGAGTTTAGTTTTAAAATTTATCGCAATCCATTTCGCCAAAACAATATTTTTTTCACCACTTTCAATTTTTGTTTGCCAACTTATTTTACTTTTTGCAAACAAACTAAATTTGAACTTGCAGCCTCGTCGCCTCATGTACATCTGGGATCTAGTATAGCACATAACATTAAATCCCAGTATAGATTAATCCAACTTCTCTATTTTATATTAAATGAATACTGAATTCAAATACAAATATATTGAGTTTAACTTATTCATACTTTAAAATTACATTTCAATGACAATACACATTTCTTTTTGTAGATTTTGTAGCGCCAGTAATTAAATTTGCATCCAAATCATCAATAGTTTTGGATTCGTCTTTAATCAATGTATAGGATACTTCCCGTCTAGTTGAAGGGCTCTAAATCATATTATTTCCCCCCTCAATTTTGAAGATCTTGTTTAAGGTATCACTACAGTCTTATGATTATTTTTGGTGAAATGTGTTTTATAATTTAATAATATTTATCCATCTGAACATTTTGTCAAAATCCCAAAGTCATTATCATGTCACAACAAAAGTAAATTAATAATAAAATGATGTAGATAAAAGCACATGGTAAATACTGGTATATATAAGAGCATATGGTAGGAGCTAATCTTTCAATCATCTGTTGATACCAAGTGTACAATCTTAATATTCACTTTTGTTGATCAAAAAACTTGTCTGACTGTTCGTCTGTTTGTTTTGTGGCATTTTTCATTTCATTAGTCCTGTTAAAATTGTATGAACAGAATGAATTCATTGCTGTATAAATTTATTTAAATTAAAGGCGTTATACGAAAATTTATATTGGAGGTATATGTAAATAAAAAGGCAACTCAAAAACAAATACACAGAAGACATACATCAGGTCTTCTTTCATAGGTAAGGATTAACAGTTTATCAACTTCTAAATACCAGACTTGCAAAACCGTAAACACCAAATTCCACGAATAAAATAAAAACGATTTGACTCTGGCAAACTTCTTAAAGAAGGAGTCTAAGGAACAAAAGACAGAAAAGATAATGACAATATGTTCGTCACCAAATATGCTGTTTTTGATTGGGAATCATATGCGATTGATATGGTAATTTTGAAATAAGTAGCAATTAATTCATCGATAAGCACGTAGAAATACAATGTTTACTAAACATTTTCTGATTTGAACTAAAAGTATTCGATTATAACATGAAGGTATATTTCTTGTCTGATTAATTAAGGCGACAGTAGTTTACTGATGTTCATATCTCGTAAATCGATAAAGAAGAGACTAACCAATATAACAAACAAACACTGAGAGAATCGCACGAATTTAAAAAGGAGCGAGACCTGGTGCGTTGACATGTAGGCGTGTCCTGCTATACAAGCATCACCAAAATATATATCTTACCTTTTTTTTTCTTTTGGATGCTGGATACACACTTGTTTCCTCACAATTGTATATGAATGATGAAAAATATGAGTTTAAGGAAGCTGAAACAAAGAGAGAAAAACTTCCTGATGAAAAAATTGTAGGTACTTTTCCTGATGATATCTAATGTTGTTCGTATTAAACCAGAGTGGAAATAGTTATAATAATAGTTTTTACATGTACTTACATGGAAATCAAAATACGACGTTATTGCACCATAATTCGAAAACGAACTATATTCTTAATCTTGTTCCAGTGGCCATATGATAATATATCGAATGCATTTTAGTATTTCTTATCATTAGGTACCTAATTAAATAATTGCACGTATAAATGTTTTACTGTAGTGTTTTTGTACACATTAAACATTAACGTAGCAAGCGACGACCGAAAATGTAGAAATAAGGATATATGGTATGGTTGCCAATGTGACAAATATAATTCAACAAGGAAAGCCAATGCAAAAGTCAAGCGTTTCCTCCTATAAAATTAAGAATGGAAATTGGGAATATGTCAAAGAGACAACAACCCGACCAAAGAGCAGACAACAGCCGAAGGCCACCAATGGGTCTTCAATGCAGCGAGAAAATCCCGCACCCGGAGTTGGTCCTCAGCTGGCCTTACCAATTGAAAGGAGTAATGAATGGCGTCCAGAATATGAACCAGCAAACAGGAATATAAAAAAGTAAAAATGATAAAACTGTTCGGTTAAAGACGTCAAACGCTATCACCCACCAAGAGTATCTACACTTATTCAAAGGTCAACAATCGTGAATTGGACACTATAAGTAAATTTACATATCAGACGCTTATTAAGGAATGTTTCTTCCTAATGCATAGCTCTGGTTTCTTGTCCGGGATTTGCTTTACCTTTTCGATCCCTTTTCATTTTTTATCAGCTATTTACCATTCGCATAAGGTCTAGAGCTTCCAAATATTTTTGCTTCGAGTATCACTGAAGAGACGTTAATTGTCGAAATGCGCATCTGGTGCAATGAAATTGGTACCATTATTGTTATTATTATTCGTGTATCTAAAGATCTTAGATCATAAAAACTTGTCGCTAGTGAGTTGAATTAGAAACACAACGTATCAGTCAACCAATGCAATGTGGATCAATTATAAAGTTGGTGTGTCATTGCACAAGGTAATTCAAATTAGACTTCTCAGTTCAAGTAAATATTTACTATTTTATCAAATTAAAATAAGGCATGCATAGGTAAAATATTGTATTATTATGTATTCTTTATTCATTGAACGTATACTAACAATTCATTTATCATCTGACAGTAGCAGTTTGTATATATTTTTGATAAGATGTGTTATGATTGCAAATGAGACAATTATCAATTGAAGCCAACAGAGGAAAGATTTGATCTATTGCTTGTCACCGAATGACCATAAACAAAACCCTCACGGTAAAGTATGCTATTAAAGGCTCATAGACGATCAGAGATGAAACAATTCAAACGAGAAAACCAATCGCTAGATTGATACTCCGCCAATAAAAGAATTGTCCGTATGGCAGCCAGCACCCAATGACAATTTTTTGAAAATAGGCTCTGATCACAATTAAAAATTTACCACTTTAACAAAACGTATTTATGAACAATACTATGCCAGCAAATACGAAGTTCGTAGACATATACCTTTTTTCAGATATTTTAATACATAATTTTGCACGCTATTTCCTAACAACTTTAGCTCGTTCTTATTTACAACCTTCTTGAGAGTCGTTCTGTAATTAATTTGATTGATATCCGACCGTATTTATAGTCATACAAATATCATTATCTATAATATTAAAAAAACCTGAACTTTGTACTCGAAGACCGTAGGTAAACATACGACACACCGCGCAATATATAATATAATATGTATATAGTATAAAAATTGCGATGCTAATATAGCCATCTTAATTAAGATAAGTATTTAGTATTTATTATTGCGACTCGGTCTTTATTTATTCTACAGAAAAAAAACCGACGCGTCATGATAACAATATGTATGAATACATTAACGCTGCAGTTATTTCTCCAGTGTGTGTTTGATTAGCTATGTGTCTTAAATGCAATCCTACTCATATACCATCAACAATTCATTAAAAGTTTTAATATTTGAAATAAAAAGATATGATTCTTAGTCATACATTTCTATTCAAGTAAAAGAAGCTGTTATTTTCCAAAACAATTGCCACATGATTATTTAATTTCAATAAAAACGAGTTAATGCCGCAGAAAAAAACCCCAACCTATTCTCAATTTATCTATTTTCATACTATCTTATACAATTCTGTACAGAAATGTTGGCCTAATTTTAAAATATTCATTATGTTTGTTGTAATAGATGAAGTAATTTATTTTAAAATATTTTACTGTTGAATACATAGTTGTATCTGTTTGAAATTGTGTTTGTTTTTCCACAAATAGATAATTCATCTATCATAGCCATATAATCGTAGATTTCAGACACTATTATTGAAAATAAATTAAAGGGAAACTAAAAAAAAAGAGAGAAAACACTTCCTTATGCAAGGATTGTAAAGTACATGTTCTAAGAATTTTTCATTTTGTTGGTATTAAAACAATACGATCGAATATTAATTATCATAAGTGTTAAACACTTGAATAAATGTACTTACAAGCAAATAGAAACCCAACCTTAGTGGTGTTAGTTCGAAATGTAATTCAATTTGTATGATTTAACCAACCATTCCTGGGGTAAATATGACAAATCAAGTACAGAATCATTTTATGGTGTGTACCTAAAAGTCATCTGCGCAGTTTCCGCATGGCAGTCATATCGCATCTAATTATTTTATTGACGTGCTTGGATTGCTGAATTTTTATAAAATATAAATTTGTCTAACATACATTATTTCTTTGGGCAGATAACTTTGTAGGTGCAATTTCTGGTTTATGAATCTTTCCAAGTTAGTATTTGATTTGTGGCCTTCAAACTGTTTTGATTCAAGCCCCACTGATGAGTTTTATGTAGACGAAAAACGCGTACCAAGTTATAAGTCTAGTATTTTTGATGGTTTTAACATGTAAAGCATTAAAATATGAAAAATCCTTTTAAAATATTATAATTATTTCGTTTTGTTTTCAAGGTATTGACCGTATTCCATCTATACACCCTAAAGAATGATATAGAAAAATTTAATCAGACAAAGGAATCAGAATCTACAAAACCAAATTGTAATACGTTAATTGTATCAACCGAATCTAATTAATGCATGCAACTAACTCAGATGCAATCTAAATAATAAGTGTGTTGTTACACTTAGAAGACGTTAAAGTTCAATTACATGTAGATTAAAAGTATACATTCAAAAGTGTACATGATGTTAATACCTATAGTTGTTTACTTTGTACACATTGTGACTTCGATGGAGAGTTGTCTCATTGGCACTCATACCACATCTTCTTATTTATATTACACGCAATTTCTCAAAATTTTAACTTAAAAGCAGAACAGTTGAAATGATATATATGAAGAGATTTAGAACACGAGACTTACTTTGATTATAGAAATAAATACATGGAAATCAAAGAGAAACAAATACAAACTAGATTTGTCGATGCGTTCATTATATTACAACCGGCAGCGAGTAATCTATTCATAATTCCTGAAACTATTTATAAATATTTGTTGACAAAGAGGGTAACTTAGATAAAGTCTTTATATTGCCTGTTTTGGACAACGCAATTACATTACAATCATAATTCACCCTACACAATATTTCATATATTAACAAAACAAAACATTGTTTCTACCTGTCCAATAACTGCCCTTAATCTTACCCCCTATACATTTCTAGGAATATGATTGGTTAAAAGCGACCGCGTGGAGACCCTGTATATTTCATATGGGGTTAGTAGGCGTGGTTTATTTTAATACACCGTTAATAGTGGTGTTACGTCCCTTTATAAAAACAACACGGCGTTGAGGAAAAATTTGAAACGTGTCACTCGGAAAATAGATGGAGAAATTGATGATGAACGATTGAAATAAATTCATAAAACACATTGAAAGCTAACACGTTGTTATTGTTGACATTTGTTTTTGTATAGACCAGTGGAAGTAGGTTCTTTATATTAAAGAATTGATCACTTTGATAGGCCACTAGTCTTAATGCCACATGTTAAGATAGTCGGTAAGATAAATTCGTAAGACAGTGTTCTAGTGACCTACTACGATATATATGGGGTCATTAAATTACATATGGGGTTCGAGTTTCCCTCTCACAGATGCACTTTCTAGAGATGTACTAACGTTTATATATCTGAATTGTGATATGTTATTTGTGATTGGCAACTTAAATTTGACTGAAGTAACCATATTTTATCATTGTAAAGCCAGTATGCATACTTTTTGATCTTGGCCAGATGAAAAATGATGTAAAGTTGTAAATGAAATATATATTATTTCTGATAACTTCATCTGCAATAAAATAAACGTTACCTTTCCTTCAATTGAGATACATTTACAGTCGTACCCTCTGCTATCCACACCACTCCTATTATTTTGATTAGTTGTTCTAGGAACTTGAAACGAAAGAAGAAAACCTTCCGGCAGGCAATTTACAATACTTGAACTAGAGAAATTTTCATTGGTTGTCTGTTATTTTAACAAAGAGATGGAAAGATAATTTTTGACTGTTGATTTAGGAAATATGATAAGACTTACAACACACTTTTTATATCCTCTAATGAAATCGAATTGATTTTGTTGTCATATGATAAAATGTATTTATAAAGGTTACTCCGGAACACGTGTATTTGTTTACGTAAAGCACGTGTGCTAAAATAAAAAAAATATGTTTATGTTTAATTCGATTGGATAAACAGTTAGTTATTACCTGTTTGGGTAATATAAATCATGATAATTTCATGCTAGAATTTAGGGCTAAATTATAGTATAGGTAGTCTAGAACTTTCATTCGAGGTTCGCCTTTCCGACAGTAAAGTATCCCATATACACCCACCCACCCTTTACTTCAGAGGAAAGTGCATATATATGTTATGTAATAAATAGATCTGTATAACTGTAAAGATTTTGTTTTTCAACTGATAGAAAATTTTTCTATAATTGTAGATTGTGTTTATCTGTAATGGTAGCGGTCTATGACAGCAAATTGGACATTTTTGTGCTGTCGTGGCGAGCTGATAATCAAATAACGGTGTTGTTGAAGGGTAAGCACATTCTATGACAGTTGTTTTGCATTCATTTGATGTGTTTGAGCTTTTGATTGTGCCATTTGATAAGGGATTTTCCGTTTTGAATTTTCCTTCGAGTTCGGTATTCTTGTTATTTTACTTTCTGCTCTACATGATTGTGGCACCCATACATATGTTTTGCTATACAGTTTTTAAAACTTATGTAATGGTGCCACATCTTGTTGATACTATGTATTTCAATTTTGGGATTTTAAAATGTCATGCTTTCTAAGGCTGTTTATAACATCTTTACACTATCTCTGCTGGATGTGTTCTGATTGATACTTGAGTCTGAGAGAATATGATTTATTCATTAGTTGTAATTGGATTCAAACTAGCTTTCAGTAAACAAGAGTACTCTAAGATTTGGTCTGTGTGTCTTTTGTTTTTTGTTCTTATGATGTGCTGATACAACACTGGAGAAGGTTGACCGCTCACAAACCCGGATTTGTTTTTTTTCTCAATCGATTTATGAATTTCGAATAGCGGTATACTACTGTTGCCTTTATTTAGCCAACACATTCTTAATGTGATGTGTCCCAAGTCAACAGCCTGTAATTCAGTGGTGGTTGTGGTTGCTGTCCTACTTTTAATTCATTGATTTGTTTGTCATATTTCAGACTGCTGGATTTCTCTAGTGTTGAGAATTGGCTGGGATATTATAACAACTTAATCAGAATAATTGGACAGCAAGCTAAGATCTGATTGTCTCGGTGTTTCATTCATATGCAAATAATATAAGAATATAGAAACACATTTTTCCTTATGTAAATCTATTCAATATATCATATAAATAATATCAGCCCTGAATATCCGATAAACAAACAGCTGACAGATTACATTAAGGATAAGGTAGCTCTGATATCAAGCTTTAAAAAGATTTGTCTGTTAATACTGTAAAAAATGCATACCAGTTACTATAATGTTTCCTCTATATTTAGTTATGTCATTAGTTTCTTTGACACAAATAATTTCCGTTTCACGAACACATGAGGAGCTAATTATGAAAATTCGAATTTTTGTGATTATAATTTTGACATTAGCAGCTTTTCAAAAACAGGAATCGGCAATATAACAGAAAAAGTATTTGAATATTTCAAATTCACGCGGGAAACTCTTTTCAAAATGAGAGACAATTTGTTGTTCCCTATTGTTAATTTTCTGGTTTTAGACGGTAATGTTCCATTGGCCCTTTAAAGTTGTGTATATTTCCAACTCATTCCCTATCCTTGTTTCTGTGGTGACGTTTTAGATTTCAATGAATGTAATCTTTAATAAGTGGTAAATTATGAAGTCGGTGATTTCAATATCATATGTTTCTGAAAACTTTTACTAAATTCTTTCATGAAATTCAAAGGTTTGGTTTGAAAGTTTGGCTGTACCTTATATCAAAAGGAATATCAAAATCTCATTTGTATGTTGATGTTGTTTATAAAGCCTGAAAATCTTGACTCCAATGTTGACTCATTGATTCTTGAATAAACGTATCAATTAAACACCCTAGTATGATCCTCAAATATAAATTTTATTGGTACTAACATTGTTGTTTTTGGGGGATAAATTAAAACATAAGTAAATATAAAAAAGAGACAGAAGATATCAAAGGAAAAATCAAACTCATACATGTAAAGTCAGAGAGACCAGGAAAATCCTGAAAAAAAGACGACTAAATGACAAAAAACAGTGTACATTGACTGCAAACCACTACATATACATGATATAAAAGTAAAGGCAAGCAACACTACCCCCCCCCCCCCAAAAAAAAAGGGGGGATCACATCAGTAGTTGTGGAAGGGTAAGCATATTCTGCTCTTTAAGTGGCACCAATAAATATGTATTGCTATATGGTTATGAAAACTTATATAATGGTTTTACATCTTGTCGATAATATGTATTAATATTCTGGCACTGCATACGGTCACGCTTTCCTCACTATTTACACTAACTCTGTCTTAAGAAAGAAAGAACATTCTTTATTTATTAGTTTTAATTGGATTCAAACAAAAAGTCAGTACTCTCAGATTTGTTCTTTGTCATGTTTGTGTCTTTTGTATTTTATTCTGATGTTGTTCTCTTTAAACTGGGGAAGGTTGACCGCTCATAAACATGTTTTAACGTAATGTGTACCAAGTCTAGAGCTTGTAATTAAGTGGTGGATATGGTTGCTGTCAGATTTATTTTTCATTGATATTTTGTCATATTTTAGGCTACCGGTTTTCTGAAGTGTTGCGAATCGGCTGGGATATTATAATAGATTATTCAGAATGTTGGACAGCAAGCTAAGCATATGTCCAATATGCATATTTTTGCTGTGTTTTAAAGCATTATTACATTTACAGGGAGGTCTAAAAGCATGCCTTTTGTCTTTGTAAAAAAAGAACTTGTTTAGATAATTTTACTATGATCGATTAATAATTTTTGAAAATTACAATCCATTAATAAAAAATATTCAATAATCGATTTGATTTTCGATTATATCCGATCATCAGAACATCACTTGGTTTTCTTGATTGAATTATATCACATTTTGTCATGTCACGGTCTTTTATAACTGACTATAAAGTATGAGTTTTGCTCATTGTTGAATGTTATACAGTGACCTGAAGTTCCTGAAATCGCAGTCTGGTGAATAGTTGTTGCATTGGTAATCCTACCACATCTCATTACTGTTATAATAAATATTATCAATCGATCAATTTGCATTTACATCAGATAATCTGACAATCACTATGAAACAATATTCAAAACAGTCGAAAATGGTGGATCAAAACTTGTTTTATAGCTAGCTAAACTTCTCACTTGTATGATAGTCGTAAAAAATTCCATTATATTGACAACAATGTCTGAATAAAAACAAACAGACATAATAGGTAAAAATGTCACAAATAGGGGTACAGCAGTCAACATTGTTATAATCTTAATCACTATAAAAACAAATAAATATGTCAAGAAGGAAAAACAGAATAACATATAGACAATACACATGAGTAAAAATGTGTCAATTGTGCATGAGGCTTAGAAGTATAGAGCGTAAAATATAAAAAAAGTTGATGTTACTGTAAAATTGAAATAAATGTGATTGCAGAGTTCAGAGCAGGTCTTTTGATTTGTTTTTAATTCATTTCTGATTGACACCACTGATTGAGTAAACTTTATCAAAATATTTGGAAGACAATCTTCTACTTTAGAATGAATGGAGGTGAAAACTTAAGAAAGCTGTTTATTCAAACATCTAGACATCCTGGTTATCAGCTGTTTTTTTGAAGGAGTTTGTGACGTTTTGAAATCGAATATAAAGGCGGGAGATTTTTATCATCCTTTTTTATATGTTAAGAATGACATTTTTATGATATTTCAAAATCTCCTCTTTCGTTAAATATTTTAAACGTTGGATTCCCAAACTTACAGTGAATTACAAGTTATTTTGTTAAAGATTCCAAATAACCATTTTTGCATATGTGTTAAGAACTCATGTGCTCAAGGGACATCAATATTTTTGCATGTGCTTATGAAAGCATGACTGAACAGCTTTGATCAGATTTAAACTCCACAAGAATCTATGCAAGGGTAAAACTCGGACGCTCCAAAACGTTCAGTAGTTCCTGTTGTACTAGTAACACCTGTGCTAGTACTCCTTTTCAAATGCGTTGATGGGCCATATCCGGTGAGTTGGATTCAAACATATACTAGTATCTCATTTGGAAATGTCATTTGTCAAACCTATAAAGACATCACTACTAGAGTAAAAATTCAGTAAATATGAAGTGATACGTTGACAGTCGCATTCGGTATAATGTTACATCGCAAAAACGGACGATATTGTGGTTATGATAAGTGGGTCATATCCGATGCCATTTTTGACACATACATTCCATTACTGTCGAACAAATCATGAAGAAGTCAATAAAAGAGCGTTCGAAGGGATGACTTCGAAAATTCAATCAGGAACTTTTGTTTCTATAGCTTCATTTCAGCATCAACGTTGACTTCATTCATAGAAATCACGAATAGAAACGAAGACTTTCAACTGTTCGGTCTATACTCCTCATGCACGCGCTGCTTGAATGTTGCTGCAGATATTGATAATTATCACTATAACTCAGATTTCAAACTTTTTATTACATTACAAAAAAATCAATATTGGTGTGCTGGGCTTATGAAAGGTTAGTGAAAATTAACAAATGCCGCGTGTCCAATGAAATGTATAGATAGTAAAAGAAATTTGCATAAAGTATAATATAACAACATGAACAAATTAAACATTTTAAAGCTTGTAAATGATTTGGTCTCATGTAAAGTAGGGTATTGTT